TCTGTAAGTGAATAGTTCTGGTAAATTAGCATTGTCCATTTTGGTTTTTGAGAAGAATGACAGATGGCGGTTCCTCATTGGTAACTAATTCTGTTACAAATGTCATGCCTTATGTATATCTTGACAGCATGTGACCAGTCAGGCTGGAGGAGCAGTTCGCATCTTTACTTCATGCGAACCTTTCCAGCCCTCTTTTACTTCGCATATTGTTATATGCTTCGCAGACCATTGTGTAAGGTTCGCGGAATAGATTTTTGAGATTTAACAGTATTAAATAAACTGAGTGGAGTAATGAGTTGTTTAGTGACACTGAGTTTATACATCTTTAGCCTAACATCTAAAATAATTTATATCCCAAACTTAGAATAAAAGTGTTGAATAATTGGAACTTATACAAAATATAAGTAAGAAGCTTGACAAAGAACTAGGTTTTTTTTTTTTGGCAAAAATATCAATCTTTTAATTTACATCACACAGTGTGCAACAAAATGTCATAAATATTACAACACCAGAAATATCTCAAGGACCCAGCACCCCCTACTAAGCATGAACATAATCTCCACCCATCCTTGTGTCAAGACTTTTTCATCTCCTCATAGGCTTGTACATAAATTTAATTTCCAGGGCGACAACAACAACAGAGAACGGTGACCTCGTGGGGATCAGTGAAGAGATAAAGGGACCAATGCACATTTATAAAGCAAATGCGAAGCATTATGATCAGCAATGGCTAATGAGCTGGATCTGGATTGAACACGATTGATTCCATCCAAATAAGATCCTTAATGTTTTCTTCAGTTATTGCTTGCTGCTCAAAATCAAAACTGAAAGGCGTGGAGCAGATTGGCTCATCATTGATATCGTAAAGAGGGGACAGGTATGGGTGACAGAGAGCGTCATCAACAGTTATACGTTGGTTCGGATCAAACACAAGCAATTTCTCCAACAAATCCAGTGCCAAAGGATGCATGTTGGGAAATCTAGCCGACAACTGTTGCTTTGGAAATTGAGAAAGTTGTATGACATATTTTCGGGCATTATCACTTCGTAGAAACTCAAGGGTCGCATCATCAGGTGTGCCTATCAGCCCAGTGATGAGTTTGAGCTGGTGTACATAATCTTTGCCAGGGAACAGAGGCTCTCTAGTCAATATTTCAGCAAGAATGCAACCAACAGACCATACATCAATTGCAGCCGTGTATTTTGAGCAATTAAGGAGCAATTCAGGTGCTCGATACCAACAAGTGACTACATATTCAGTCTCAGTCATGAAATCAGTTTCAGAAGTCGTCCCTGCCAAACCAAAACCTCCTATCTTTAAATCACAGTTTGCATTCAGAAGCAAATTGCTGGGCTCAAGGTCCCGATGCAAGACATTTGCTGAATGTACGTATTTCAATCCTCGTAACAGCTGATATATAAAGTACAGACAATGTTCATCCGTCAGTGGTTGATCGGACTCAATAATCTGATGTAAATCTGCATCCAGCAATTCACAAACTAAATACACATCATTAAAAGCATCCTTCTTCGGTGGTCTTATGATATCCTTGATAGCAATAATATTTTCATGATCCATATGGCGTAAGAGTTTAATTTCTCTCAAAGTTCTTTTAGCCTCTATTCTGTTATCAAATGCATTTCCAATCTTTTTGATTGCAACCCGCTCATATGTTTCTTTATTGTTAGCAGAACACACAAGGCTATAGGCGCCACGACCAAGGGGAAGTATTGGAGGAACATATTTACTGAAGACCTCGAACAAGTTTCCATACAGATTGTGGCGCTCGTATTTACCATCATTCGTTAGAACTCCTTTTATGTTAGAGTTTGTTGAAGCTGAGCTAGTTTCTTGAGCCACGGCTGTGAAACAGGAAAATGGGTTTCGAAGATACGAACGAAGAGTAGTCCTAAGGGGAGGCAACAGCGGTGGGGGTGCTTCCAGTCGTCGACGGACCATTTTGTCTCCATGCAAATTTACAGTATCGGAATTATATGCTTCAAGTTGAGGATCCTGCTCATGAAATGAAGAATCGATCCCGAATCTGGAACTAGAGGATATGGATCTGAAACTTGATTCCCTCGAGTCCGCTAAAGCAACTTCTCGATCTTGTTCTCTTCGCAGCACGACTTCCACGAGTCTCCCCCATTTATCATAATTGTTAGACATCTTCCCCGTTTAACAAGAATCTTACAAAATACAAAATCTCAAACAATCAAATAAGAGAATTCAGCTTGAGTTATTGAATATCTAACACGGAATATACAGAAAAGATTAGAAATGGGCTGTGTAATTTTACATTCAGTCTTGGTCAACTGCAGTGTTATCAGTGTGGACAGCTAGAAAAGGGTGGTTGATTTCATTGATGGTCACTGAACTTTACAATTACTATCACCTTGGTCACTGAAGTTTAATTTGATTCGAACTCATCACTGAACTTGATAAAATATTTCATTTAGATCTCATTCAATTTAATGTCTATTTTTTAACTAAAATCCTATGTGTTCGTGTGCGAAATCATCAAAGTATTGAATTTTCAGTTAAATCCTACAAGTTGGCACATGAAGACAGATAATATTCACTTAAAAAATAGATGTTAAATTAGTTAATGGCTTGAATGAAATATTTTATAAAGTTCGGTGATAAGTAAAAAATAAATTAAAGTTCAATGATCAAGATGACACTAAGTAAAAAATTCAATAGCTATTAGTGAAAACCCTGTACAATAATCTAGAATCTCAAAGAAACTTGAAAGAAGTTTCTTATAAAAAAATTTGGTGGATGATTCATCTTCATAATCATAATCCCCATGTGATCATAATAACGACAATTTTGTTTAGGTTAATTATTTCACATCATACTTTTGTTTATTACCCCATATTTTAATTAAAATAAAAGTCTCATACTGACACGACCCGTCCCAGATCACCCTAATGGACTCGAAACATGACGTGCGTCGATGGTAGATGCTAACTAGATGCTAGATCCACCACCAAGGCTGACTATAGGTTACTACAAACTATCAAGAATCACATGTTTATGAAAAATATAGTGCGATGGCATAAAATAAATATTTTGTGCTCTACCAAAATGCATCATATCGTGTGGCTATAACTCTGAAATCACCAGGTTCCTCAAGCTATCAAGAACCAATACTTCCTGTAAGAAAAATTGTGGAAAAATATATGAGTTGATAGTTCAGTGAGTGGAGAAGTTCAAAAATAATTATACTTTCCATTTACACGTATTTATCGAAAATCGAGTTTACATCACTTAACGGGTCACGATATAACATCATATAATAATAATCAAGATAGAAACCATTCCTGTAATACTAAAAAAAATCATCTCGCAAAAATGATAATATCATCAATGTAAACTCGAAGTATTCTCATTTGAAACTTTATTTTTATTTGGGCTCTTGACACACATACTAGGTACCGGATAGAACTCTACGCAACATCAACATCAGTAACCAATAACCAATCAGGCATAGTCGAGTGGCCCATCCTCTTGTGATTATCAGAGGTACATCCCCTGACAGCCTCCATAATCACCCAAGAAGTATCCCACCTGAAATGCCAGTAATCACAATATCACAATCGAGTGGAGCATCCTCCTGTGGCCAACAGAGGTACATCCCCTGACAGCCTCTATGATCACTCAGGAAGTGTCCCACCCGAGATGCTAACAATCACCATATCACACAACACAAGCAAGTGGTCAATCATCCCGTGATCACCAAAGGCACATCCCCTAACTACCATCGTGATCACCCGAGAAGTCTCACATTCCAATTCACAAATAATTCATACACAATCTTTAAAATTCCACACCGATCATAATGAAGGANCACACCTATCATAATGAAGGAATATTTCCACTTTAATAATGTAATTGAACAAATAATTCTCATAATTGCATAAAATGTATAATAATATAATTGAAAAATATTTAAGTTTTTCCACTCACAGAAATTTGAATAAATTGACCGGTCTTTCCACATTTTCACGTCACTACTTGAAATAACGGTATAAATATACAAATTAAAACTTGACAATAAATTAATGCAAATCCACCACTTAACTTCTCAACTTCTATACTTATTCTTGCTTCTCTATTTCGACAACTCTTCCTCTATTAAATTATTTACCAACAAATCACCACACCTGATCAAACCCATAAATTCACTATAATTTCATAAAATCACTACATTATCCATATACAACCTCTATTCATAATTTATTCCAATACCTAAACTTCAATATTTATCATATAACTCCATTCAACCTTTAAAATCTAAAACAACACTAAAATTTTAGAGTATTTAAATCTACCATCAGTTTTTGTATGTAGAAAACTGTTTCCAAAACCTTTGACAAAAACGACACTTCCTGGCCAGAATTTCAAAAATAGCACCTGCACATGAATTTTGCACGAAAATTGTTTAAAATACCAAAATTCAACATCAACTCCATATTTCACTGTAATACATCATAATCCAGTGTTTTATATCATGTACAGATTCAAGCTCTAATTCACAAACCCATTTCACATTTCTTACACTAATCTTCCACTATATATGCTTTCTACTTGTTTAATACCTAAGATATTTATCAACCACCTTCAATTCTTGCTTAAATTTGAATATAAACAATTATTCATAAATCCTAAAAAAATAATAATTCAACATACTTATACTCACCTCTCCAATTCAAACGTGAACTTGAAGAAACGGATAACCCAAGCTACTTCTTCTTCTCCTTTTCCTCTTCTCCCTCTTTTTTTTTTTTTTTTCCTTTTTCCTTCTCTTTTCTTTCTTCCTCGATTTTTCTTCTCTGCCGATTTGTCTCTGCGTGTGTATGTAAATAATGGAAAATGAAAATGGGTTATGGTTATCTAAATGCCACTTGTAATCCACTCACATCAACAATTGCAAAGGAAACCCCTCTTCTTCAATTTAACATAACATTTAGTCCTTAACTTCCATTGGATATAAAATCTAACCATTTTACTTTTAATAATATCTAAGTAAACCCCCGAAATAAATTTTTATCCCTCTTAAACCTTCAAATATTGTCAATTGGTAAAATAACCCCAATAAAATAATTTATTTCATTAAAGTCCTTATTTGACTGATTTTAAAGGTTGAGATTCTTGACTTTGACTAAATAATTTCTTGACTTTTGACCATAAATGAATGGGGTATAACACATACTTTGCTGTCCCAATTCTTTTCGTCGATTCTTATCCTTAACTTTCAATAATTATCACATCTTGTTCTTGATGACAACATTTTTTCCTACTATTCTTTTAGCATGCTTTGTCATCAAAGATAAAATATAATAATTAATGGAAGGTTAATAATATAAATGCGACGAAAAAGAAAGGTTAAAGCATAAATAAAACAGTAAGCGAATGTTGGGTGCATTTATTAATACTGTTGAGCGGAATGTTGACACCCAAGCTTCTGGGCTCAATATTTCAACAATACCGAATCGACACCAAGAAGTTCCAAGGCCCAAAACCAAACCTACAACCACCACGATCCTAGTTACTTGGTATTGCCCACAAATGACACGGTATGGAGTGTTATATTGCAGCCACAATATTAGCCACAAAGGCTAAAAAAGAGATGAAAACGTAAGGCACAAAGAAGGAAGCACGAAGCAGAATGAAGTTGCCGATTTCACTCACAAAAGGGGGCAAGCAATTAACAAATTTCACACACACCACATGCTAAAAAAGGGGAGTCACATATATAACCAAGTAATGGGCTTTTAGGTTAGGAAATAGTTAGGCCCAAGAACAAATAGGTAGTGGTAGATAAGCTATCAACCAAAAGCCGTCCAAAGGATAATGGGTTGGGCCATGAGTAGCTCTAATTAAATTAGGCTACTTCCAATGGCCCAATTAGTTTATAGGTTTAGGTCAGTACAATCGTGGTGTCAATGTATCACTTCACTCATCGGCCGAAGCCTATGAAATATAATCCAAAAACAGTTTATTATCGCCCGAAATTTATTGGGTATCAAAACCCAACAAATCTCCACCTTGATACCCAATCAACTTGCAAGTAATCAAAAGACACAGTTTATACTTGCATAGTTAAAGTAACCAATAAAATTGAGATCACAGACCTTATCTCATGTTTCGGATCCGAAACACATACCATACCTGCTTCATGTACTCACCAGGGCTAAGATCAAGAACACTCAAGTGGAAGCAGATAATCACAGTAATCAATCAAGAGCAAATAAACATGCGATGGAGATATCATATAGAATGACACAGATCTTTTTAAAAAACACGTTCACATAGAACAAAGATTAACACCAAGTTAATCAAGCACATTGTCAACAGATATGCAACAAATGCATAAATGATCCCACGAATAGATCTCACGACAATTATCCTACCCTATTTCGTGTTGCTCACACCCCGAGAACATATATCTCACCTCATCGCCCACCATGCTCACTAGACTTAACACTCAACTCATGTCTAACTGGTAGACCTCTAAAGATCCTAAGTTCTCGGGATAATCCTCTATCACTACATCACTTCTCCTAACCTATGTGGATAATGGGTCTCCACCTAACCGAAGTCATGGGAGTGCATCTCTCACACTCTACATGTACAAAGTCTCTTCATAGATAAAGGATTCCAACATTTGATCACCTTTCCACTCGTGATCCAAATGTCACACTCCACATCCCCAGTACAACCCACCAATATACCTTTAGGCATCTAAACTACATCTCACCAAAAGACATACAATGCACTGCTAATGCATCTTAACGCACTATGCGTGCAAACACATTACACAAAGTAATCAGATTGCTCTCAAAATTACACTATCACCTGGGCGTGCCAAACTCATTTCATGAAACTTACCCCTCACACCACAAAGTTCACCAAAATTAAGCTTCTCCAAAATCTCGGCATGGTAACAAGTTCGAAGAGCATCNATGCTTAACCCATGCGTAGAAAACATTGCATCAATCGCATCCTTGAGTGATTGGGCACAAGTATCAGCGACATGGGTAATGCCCAAAAAATATTTCTTCACGACCCCACTTTGGTCAACAAACCTCAAAACAACTGTCATTTGTTCTTTTATAGAATTATCACGAGCCTCATCAACCAAAATTGAAAACAAACAATTA